TAGAAGTGGCCCAGAGTGGCACCCTCGGGAGGCGGTTCTCTGGCAGCCACTGAGAAGGCCTCTTCGCCAGCAGATCCTGTGAGCACAGACAGGCGGTGCTTGTCCTTCGTGCGGACATTGGTGAGAGAGCTGCGGAGGGAAGAGGGACGTTGGGAAAATGCAGTAAATCAAAGGACATTGGTGGTTCACATCATATTTGAGTTATAAAATGCAACTTTTAAATTTATATGCGAATACAAATGGCCATCACACATATCTTGAAGCAAAGCACAGTGAGAATCAAAGATATTGAGAAGCAGTTCCATGTTTCCTCTGAAGTCTGCAGAGCAAACATTTAGAAGTGGGGGCCGTGGGGGCTGCTGTGTCGCCAACAATGTGACACGAGTCACCGTCCCTCACTCATCTCTCAACACTTCTGGGCGCCACCCTTGCGCCAGGTCTGAACTGGGCGTTGCAGACGAGGCAATAAACAAGAGCCAAGTGTGCCTTCCTCCTCCTCAGTTAGGAGAAGCTGTGTGCTGCTTAATGATAAGCAGCTTCCCGAAGGAATGACATGCCACATGCTCAGACGCATGGAGCCCTGTGGTATTTGTGTGCGTGAGCACTTTCTTAGAACTCAGAGAGCATCACTCTGGTCTTTACAGCCCTTTTATTATTTTGTCATTATTTTCTAGGAGCCATTTTGAAAAATTGATTTTTTTTCCTTATTTCCTAAATACTGTAAAAATAAAAAATGTTTGTCCTCAGTGGTGGTCAGTTTCGGTTAAAAGCCTCTAGTTGGAAAGGGATGGAGGTCTAGAGCGGAGGGTGGCAATCTACCACCGGGCGCCAGGCTGCCACCCACCCTGCAGCGCAGCCATGGCAGGTGCCTTTTAAGTCACCACAGCAGAGTGAGTTGTGACAAAAGCTGTATGACCTGCAAAGCCTGAAATATTTACTACCAGGCCCCAAAAAGGTCCACCACTGGTCTAAAATAATGGCAGGTTTTGGTTTTATTTTTAAATTCTGACTTTAGCATGCTCCTCCAGGTGTGCGAAAGGAAGACAGTCTACCAGTTAGAAACCGGTGTTCCAGACGAGAGCAAGTGCGTTCAGGTTCTGTTTCTGCCATTTACTGGCTGTGTGACTCTGGGCAAGTTACTAAACCACTCTGTGCTTTAGCTTCTTCACCTGTAAATGGGGATGATACTTCCCTTATGGGGTCATTATGATGATTAGATGAGTTAATATACATAAAACGGTAGTAAAGGGTGTGGCACAGAGTAAGTGATAAGTAAATACTCATTGTTACCTTGATAATTGATCATTGCTTTTAATAGGCATATAAAATTGAGAGCACATGGTTTATCTTAAAGAAAAACTTATTTGTGAACTTCAGAGTTTAATACAGTTAGGCTGTACAGAATGATTTTTATTTCATGTTCACCCTCTCAGTTCTCTTAAATCAATATCCATGCCTTGCATTTCCAGCTGTTGTTGATGAAATCCATTCACTGATAGAGCAAAGCCGAAGACTGATCATTGTCCTGAGTACAAGCTACATGCTTAACGAAGTGAGGTATGAACTCGAAAGTGGACTCCATGAAGCGCTGGTGGAAAGGAAAATTAAAATCATCTTAATTGAATTTACACCCCTCAGTGACTTCACATTCTTGCCCCAGTCACTACAGCTTCTGAAATCTCACAGAGTTCTGAAGTGGAAGGCTGACAAATCTCTCCCATATAACTCAAAGTTCTGGAAAAACCTTCTTTACCTGATGCCTGCAAAAACGGTCCAGCCACGCAGAGGGGAATGCGAAGCGGAGCCCGTCCTGGCTGGGTCCTGCCCTTAGGGAAGCGAGGGGGGAGCTGCGAGCGCTGGGGGCGGAGGAAGGCGCCTGCTCCCACCTCAGGCAGGGGTGGCTCCTCTGTTTCACTCCAAGGAAATCCCTCTCCCAGTTCCCCATGGAGCTTCACCGGCTGCCTGCCTGGAGGAGGCCGTGGAAGCAAGCTGCCCGAGGTCCCAGAAGACCCTGGGACCTACAGAAGGGGCTCTCCTGTCTCCTCCTCCACAGCTAGGCTTGTGGCTGGGGATTATGCAAACACCGCATGCCATTCAAAAGGGCACTGTAAGAGTTTTGAATGTGAACCATTGAACTAAAGGATTTTAAGTTTGTTACTGGCATTTCTACGAGCCAGTAGGTGACATTGGACGGGCACAGTGGCGACACCGACACTCTTGCACATGAGGAGAGAGTGCTGGGCGGGGAGCTGGCATGGGGAGTCCCTGGGCAGGGCAGGGCGAGGCTCAGCCGTGCTCCCTGTGACCCCGCCACAGCTGCAGCCCCGGTTGTTGGAGCCTGGCCGCGGCCCTGTGCTGGACATGCTTAACTGGGCCTATTTGTAGGAACTTCTTAAAGGCAACCCCAAACAACTTTGTATCTTTCAGGATAAACACGGGTTTTAATTAAAATATTTCTCCTGATCTTTCCAAATTGGTCACAAACATTTGTTGATTCTACATAAATATTTATGTGCAGGATGGGTGCCAGATCATATTAGCCATTAGGCAGCAAATAATGGTAGTTACTTGCTTGAGTTTTTAAAAGGTTGCATATCAGATGCCGGAAGGTGGGAGCAGCATGGCATGGTGGTTTGGTGTGAGCTGTGCAGCCAGGAGGGTGAGCTCAAGTCCTGGCTTTGCTGTTTACTTCTGTGAACCCTGGAGCCTTTCCTGGGATCTGTGCCTCAGTTTGCTCATCTGTAAAATGAGAATACATGAGAACTACACCTACTTCAGGGGCACTAAATGAATAAAGTCAGACAACATTCTGTTAGTGTTGTTATTACTATTATTGTTATTATTATTGATTAGTACTTAGATCAATTTCTTAATTGTCACTCAAGGATATCTTTTTATTGACTGTTTTAGAGAGGGAGGAAGGGAGAGAGAGAAACATTGATATGAGAAACACCTATTGGTTGCCTCCTGTACATGCCCTGACCAGGAATAGAGCCCGCAGCCTGTGCTGTACAGGATGGCGCTCTCCATGAGCCACCCAGTCAGGGCTAGGTCTGCGTTTTAGCTGTGGGGTCCACTGGGAGCTGAGAGTGGAGGGAAAG